ATCCTTCCTGACTGCCTATTTTACTCTATTTCCTTTGAGAGAACTATGACATCTGATGCATTGACATGATTGAGACAGGGAGAGGATTAGGTTACCTTGTGGCAAAGAAATTAAAAGAGACTTTTTGTTAAGGCAAGAAAAGTTGTTGGACTGTAAAAAAGAGATATTTCTTCCCGTGATACAGTAAATCATTTATTATTTATCATATTATCTAATTTTATTTTATTTTATTTTTTTCTGACAGTACCCGAAACTTAGTACATATACTTTGCATTAAGTGTACTTAACCACGTTAAATAAAATTAATGTATTGTATCGTTTGTCAACTGATCCTGTTTGGTAAGAAAATCGACCAATGGAAATAAAAAYGTTGGCTAAAATAATGAGTGATTTACGTTCCTAAAAATACAACTATAACTCGGTTTGAGCAACGGCTATCGCACTTTCAGAAATCTGACTGCCCGAGTCCGCCAAATCATGACATCGAAACGAATCCAGCTTGAAGAGMTATCACAGCGATTTGATTGATATACCAAGTTTTGTGATTGGTTATTCAATGAAGTAATGAGAAACAAGATGTTGATCACAAAAATAAAAATAAACCGCAATTTGACTGAGCAGTTTATTTCATCTTGGGCTATATTATAAAAGCAATAAACGATAGTTTTTCGCGGGTTATTGGCGAAATAAACTACTTGGGATCGTAGTTGAGAAAACACTCGCCTAACGGCTTGCGATTTACTGATTTTTTTTCCGTTTTCTCCCAACCCGCCTCCCACGTGGTATAGTTCGCCAAATAACCCACGGAAAACGATCATTTACTGCTTTAATAATTTAAGTGAATGGAAAGTAGGCGAATGGCGAGGAGTGTGGTTCTAAGGACGGTTTTAGCCTTTTGATAATAACCAACACTGATTATTTTAACTTATAAACGGATTTGAAGTATACAATACTAAAGCAAGAAAAGGGAACCAATGTGCCTATTGATAGGCCTATCGATAAACAAAGGCATTTTTAATTTCCGACATGAATCAAAAAATGCTTTCTTGATATTTCGTTTCAAGTTAAAAGCGAAATAATTAAACGTAGATGCCTTCAGCACAAAACACTTCAATTTTGTGGTGATAATTTCATTTTACTTATTCAAAAAACAACGTGCTTTTTTACTTTCATGTTTGACCTCAACTTGGGCAGTTTTTGTACATTATTTTTTTAAAAAATGACTGTGTAATTTGTGTGCTCTTTTATTAGAACGTTTATTTATCATGTTTTTCAAGGCACGCAATACTAAAAAAATATATAATGTACTTGCGATGGGTGATGGGAG